ATTCAATAAGTTTCTTTCACAGACCAGACACCTTTCTAGTCTGGGTCCAATCCTTTCCCCTGGTACAGTCCTTGTTCCAGCTCATGTGGTAGCTAGGGGATTTCTCATGATGGCCTTCCCCTTGTTCTGTTCCACACATTTATATATCTTTTGCATAAGGCGGGAATCCTTTGTCCCTCTGGGTTTCCACCCCTCCTTCTCAATGGAAAACCACTAGGTTTAAGATGGATTCCAATTCAGGTGACATGATCACATGTCACTGTAAGACCCCCAAGCCTTCGTTCCTCCCAGCCTGAGTCACAGGAAGGCCTGCCTGCAAACAGAGCCATCCGCAGTCACTTGTCCTGGTTGATGGGATCCTTCAAGATTCGAAACCACCATTAATGGCCCACACTTTGCATAATTACAATAGGCCCTCAGAATTATATTTCATATTTCTAGTTTCAGATAAAAGAGTGATACATTTATACAAATAGGATGACCACACTCAGTAGATTATAAGCTTTGTAATACCTTACAAGAGACCTTTTGCATGAAGCATATTTTAGTTACGTTATATTCATACTCATCAGCATACTTTTATAAAATCGTATAGAGTGCAACGTCACACTGGCTACAACAGTGCCATGTGAATACCTGTTCTCACTTTCAGGTGATATTGTAAACAAGAAGCAGGCAGCATTATCTCTTGCAAATTGTTTGTCTGAGTGATTGGCTGAAGTAGGACTGAGTGGACTCACAGGCTCTAAAGTTTTACATTTGTTTTATTTTTGGATGCAGTAATTTTTTTTGTACATAATTCTACCTTTGTAAGTTCAACTTTCATGATAGAGATTGCACTACAGTACTTGTATTAGGTGAATTGAAAAATAGTATTTCCTTTGTTTTTTTACAGTGCACATTTATAATAAAAATAAATATAAAGTGAGCACCGTACACTTTGTATTCTGTGTTGTAATAGAAATCAATTTATTTGAAAATGTACAGAATATCCACAAATTTAAATAAATGGTATTTATTATTTAACCGCACGATTAATCAAGATAATATTTTTAAGTGTGCGATTAATCTAGATTAATTTTTTAAGCTCTTGACAGTCCTAATTAAAAACATTTAAAGCCAATAATAATATATATTCTGTTTTAAGGGGCCAGTCTGGTGAGCTAGAATTGCAACATTCTGCTATGCCACGGGAATAGAACTGAATGTACAACTGATCTGTGAATAGGCCTCTGTGGAACTCTTCCTGCATCTGCTAACCAGATCCCAGATTTGGTCCCTTTTAGTATGTGCCGCAGGGGTCTCTCTTTCTCCCAGGCTTTTTATGGAGTAGTGGGTGTATGTACAAGTTATGACTCAGATTATGATGGAAAACTGATGGTAGACAAGAAGGGTGTGTTCACTGCAACTGATTCCCAGATCCACGGAGAACATTTATAGATACATTCTCCTATAGAGCTGGTATCTGTTACATGATCTTTCTGATGCCCAGAACATTCTCAATAAAATCTAGGGAGATGGGTCATTCTGGTGGCTACAAGCCCGGTACATGGATGCCATCCAGTTACCATTTGAATAATTTCTGCTTGCTTAGTTCCCAAATATATTGTTGCACTATTTCCCCCCATGCCTTGCTTTTTGAAAGATTTTTTTCAGGCTTGATGACCTTAATGGAGTTGTATAAGTTTATTTTTTGAAAGGAGGTCATACTTTAAAACTTCCAGGTAAATTTGAGAAAAGCATTGATGCACTAGTAGAGATGTTGATACTGGTGAGATCGCCTCTCTTTTCTGTGTAGCTCAAAAACTTGTCTCTTTCACCAACAGAAGTTGGTCCAATAAATCTTATTTCTCTAGTATTGTTGTAATTTCAAAATAGCGTTTCAGCTGAGGATACAGATCTGGTTGCAGAAACTTCAGTGAAACAAACTACTTTCACTCACTTCAGAGTTCTTGATCTTCTCTTTTCAAGATGAATGAAACAAATCTTGAGCACAAAGTTTCAACTAGTTTTACTAAACAAAGTTAATGCACATTAAGAAGTCAGTAAGATATAATTAGACAGTAATGTGCCCTCTTTTGTCTTTAGTTTAAGGTTTCAGATCTGTACAGTGGACATTTTAAAACACAGTTTATAGTAGAGCATGTAGGTGTTCTTTCTTAAAGATTTGGTGTTATCCCCCTGCTGAGAATCCCAGGACCCCTGACATTTTATTGTGACTCTGGATTAGCTCACTGGGGTCTTGCTCAAAATTCTTCTTTTCATACTTGATAAATTGAATTCCATATTCCCAGTGCATTTAACTAGAATAGTGTTTGAAAAACTTTAAAAAGGCAGCTAAACTTAAAAAAAAGAATTAATTCATTGAAGAATGGTTGTATGTTATTGCAAGTTTAAATGTGGGGAGGCAGAGGAAATAAGGATTTATTGTAATCCAAAATCTTCCCAAAACATCAAGCATTTTGTATCCCATTGTAACAATTACATTTACAAAAATGGAAAGCAACATTTTTTCCTTTTATTGTAGGCATTTTGGTTAAAGACCATAAGGCTTAAAGCTAAAACATTGGCATAGATCATGTACTTTTGTTTTTAAACAGGCCACCTATTTCATTTGTTCTGCTTATTTCTGTTAAGGTACTTACAACAAAAATAACTTCTACAGTATTACAATTTAATGGCGAGGCTAAAGTGAAGTTGAACTTCTTTAATTGAACAGAGTTGGTTCTCTTTCCATCTCAGGTCTGACATGTCTTCTGGTATGACACATATACACCATTGCTAGATGGCAGGGCTTTTATATTTTTAGCTTCAAAAGTAAAGATGAAAAACTAGAGAAACAATACTTAAGCTTGGAAAGATTACATTTTTATTGGTACATGTTGGGAAACGTTGATTTCACTCTTCACGCACAAACCGACAAAGTCCATCAATAATTGAGATTTACAGATGGGCAAAGTGAGAAAAATGCTGCATGAGAATTTATTAAAGTTTCATTTAAAGGTATTTTTACTTTTGATATGTAATGTTGACAATTTTTGTTTTAATGGTTAAAAAGCTTTAACTTTTTGAAATGTAACACCTAATGAAGTTAAATAATTATTGTCTGACCCCTGTAATTTCCCACAAGTGTGAACATATAAATGGATAAAAAAAATTGATATCTGTTGAAATAAAAATATTCCAATTTTGACAGTCCTAACAATACTGGGTTGATATAACTAGTAGTTTTGCTGTAAATTCAGATGCTCCAGGTATTCTTCATCAAGTACACAATACTACTTTTTTTCTAATGTTTTCCTCCTCCTTGTACCATCCTATACCTGTTAATTGCATAGTAATCTGTTGTATTTGTATAAATGCTCTTTTTTTAAAGTCTTGGATTCTTGTTTCCAGAAAGACTTTTTGTATATATTTATGATTAGATTTTTCTTTAATACATTTCACCACCTGCCCTTCCCTGGCATACACCTTGTTCAATACACCAGTGTTTCTGGGTCACTAATACAGCCTTTTTACCCTTCTAATCTTCTCTTCAGGACATTTGCTTGTAAATATAAGGTGATCCTGGCTGCTTTTTCTAGCTCTGTTTCCTAAGTTCTTCAGTTCTCTTCAAAGCTCCATCGATTGACTGACTATGCCTCGGACTCTTGGACTTGAAAAGCCACTAAAACTTTATTTAACCCAGAGTGAACATAACAGAAGCAGATGGTTACTAACAGAATTCCGACAACTGATTTTTAATGCAGTAGAACAGCTAGAAAAGCAACTACTAACTTGTGTGTGTCTACCATAGAGATTCTCAAACTTTTGTATTGGTGACCCCTTCCACACAGGAAGCCTCTGAGTGTGACCACCCCTCCCCCCCATAAATTAAAAACATGTTTTTTAAATATTTAACACTATTATAAATTCTTGTGGTGAAGCGGAGTTTCGGGGTGGAGGCTGACAGCTCAAGACCCTCACGTAGTAACCTCGCAACCCCCTGAGGGGTCACAACCCCCAGTTGGAGAACCCTGGTCTACTAGGTGACATTTTCTAAAGTAGAGTCTATTTAAAAACAATTTTTCCTTTTTGGAAGATACAAAAATAAAATGGGAAAAATTTCTGGTAACGAATTGTCCCCTTCATGTCTTTCTTCCATTCTCATCTCTGCCTCTTTCCATTCAATGCTGTCTGCCTGGAACCCTCTACTTGACCTAGTTCACTGTGCCTCAGTCCTCTCTTCTAAATCTCTCATTAAAACATCTATTAAAGTCCTCCATGCAGAAAAATGTACCATATTTGACTAAAAACACAAAACAGAGTTGTTTCCCTCTGCTGCCCCCACCCCCAACTTCAGGCAAATCCTAGAGCTAGTAGGATACCTGCCAAACTCAATGAGTCAATTCTGCTGTGTGTCAGTATTCTATATTCTTGTTTCTTTTGAGGCTTTGTTCTACGTTGGGAATTTTGTTCCAATTCGAGCAATAGATGACCAGCTAGCAGTGAAGCTGCACTGGTGCAAACCCCAAGTGTAGACCAGAAAAGCCGTGATGTGCGCTGGTGTGGCGCCTCTTGAAACTGGATAAAATGCCACCAATGCAAATTGCAACTTCCCTTGTCTGCACTTGGGGGTTACATTGATTCAGGTGCTTTGGTAGCTGGATGATGATGGCTGGAATCAGGTCAAATTCCACTTTAAGGAGTACTGCTTTCCAGTATATGTGAACATAGTATATTGAATACTAGTGCACTGATTTTTTTCTTTATACTTTTGTAATAGAAATGGTGTTGAATGATAGGTTTGGTTATTAGTGTTCAGTAAACTAACACAACATAGCTCATTAAATAGTAATGTATAAGGCTGCATGTCTTCTGTCACAGAAGTCACAGATTCTGTGACGTTTGCAGCGGCCGGTGTGGCAGCCCCTGGGCCAGTAGCAGCAGTTTGGGTGTTGGAGAGGGCTCAGGGCTGGGTCAGGGGGTTGGGGTACGGGGCGGTGCTTACTTGAGGGAAGGGGACTCCCCGGAAGCGGCTGGCATGTCTCTGCGGCTCCTGACCCAGGCAGTGAGGTCAGATGGCTCTGCTTGCAAGCACCGCCCATGCAGCTCCCATTGGCTGCGGTTCCCAGCCAATGGGAGCTGTGGAGCTGGAGCTCATGGCGGAGGCAGCGCATGAAGCCTCCCTGGCCTTCCCTCCCCCTAGGAGCTGCAGGAACACATGGAGCTGGGTAGGGAGCCTGCCAGCCCGCCCGCCAACCCTCCGCGTGCCCCCTCCCTCCCCCCAGCACCAGTGGGGGTCCTGGGTTGCACGCTGCTGCCAGGCCACCCCAGCCCCAGTGGGGGTCCCGAGCTGCACCTGCAGCACCCCTGCCCAAGTTTTAGTTAGGGTATCATACAAGTCATGGACGGGTCACGGGCCATAAATTTTTGTTTACTGCCTGTGACCTGTCTATGACTTTTCCTAAAAATACCCATGACTAAAACATAGCCTTAGTAACGTGTAAATGCTTGGTCTCCCTTATTGTCCAGCTCACGTTAATTGGCTTCTGTGTGTCAGTATAGCTATACTGAAAAAAATTAATGAAGCAGTTGTTTCACCCTACATGAAAGGGACCTGTTGAGTTAATATTCGGAAACCTCCAAGTAAGATCTACATTTTGCAGGAAGTTGTTTGGCCTCTTCTCTTGGTACTTAACCTGTACGTCAAAATGACTGTAGTAGTGGGAGACTTTGTGCTGTTGGAGATACTATCCTTTAGGTGAGATGCATAAAACAAATATCCTTTTCAGTTCTCCTCATGAAAAATCATTGGCACTACTTGTCAGAGTAAGATTAAATTATTAACATAGTTTCCTGTGTCAGCCTAAATATTCCCCTGTACCTTCAATAGGATATTTTAATTGACTGTTATATTTTCACGCTCTGTTCTAAACTATTGTTGTAGTGCTTCTGTGAGCTGTTAAACTGCAGCTCTATTTCACCCTTGATGCAGTAGCATTTCAGTAGTAGATTAAGTTTTATCTGTGTATATCCTGTTTCTACTTAAGTGTGTTGTGTGATTTTAGGGCTTGTCTTCATGGGGTTATTCTGCAATAGCTATTCCTGATTAACGATTTCTAATTAACTCCATGTGTGAACACTGGTATTCCAGAAGAAGAGTTCTTTTCTCAAAATTAGCTTAATGCACTAAGGCACTCTTATTCTGAAATAACATCCACATATGGAGTTAATCAGGAATAGTTAACCAATTTTAAATTCACACCCTACTTTTTCCAGATTAACTTTCACATGTAGACAAGCCCTTAATTAGAAGCTGTTAATAAAATGCTCGGAGGTCTCTGAAAGATGGTGTAGAAATGCCAGTGTATTAGCATCTACTAAACTAGTGGTTCTCAACCTATTTACTATTGTGGGCTGCACATGCAGCTCTCTGTTATGTAGGCCACATACCACACACTATATGTACTACCTGTGTTGCCCTGAAGATGTCACATGAGCTGCAGCTGTGTGCTGAATGGGCTGCAAGCGGCCCACGGGTTGAGAACCACTGTACTAAGCTAATACCTTAACCTTTTCAGAATGTTGACATGCTTCACGTTGCCTACAGTATTACTTAGGAGCATATATGTAATGTATAGGATTTACTTCAGCAACACCACAATTATTTAGTTTGTCTACATGGGGAAGTTTTTCCGGGATAAGGTAGGGAGTGAATTTAAAGCACAATAGTTATTTTGGAATAGCTCCCCGTGTGAACTCTCTTATTCTGGAATAATGGTCCCTTTTTCCAGTAGAATAAATTAAACCAGAAAAAGGCGCACTTGCTTCAGAATAAGAGTGTCCACATGGGGAGCCATTGTGGAATAGCTGTTCTAGTCAACTTTCATGTGTAGGCAAGCGCTCAGGATCTTAAAATGAATGAGGACAAAACTCATTAGAATGCCAATGTAAGAACTACACCAGAATGCATTGTATTTAGTAGCAACACCATTAGACTTAACTTTGAGTTTGTGTTTAAGCATAAACTATCCCCAGAAGGGTCAGTGCCAAGTTGTCTAGACAGGACTTCACCAAATTCTCTACAATTAAAAGTGTAAACTGTGATTTCAAATGTGAAGGAGACTCTGAAGTTAATAAGAGAACTCAGTCACATGAGTTGTGAATATTTGGTGTCACCTGGAAACAGACATTTTTCTTTTTTTCACTTCCGAACTCTCAAAAAGTTACAAATAAGAAACCTAGCCCTGGTCTACACTAGGACTTTAGGTCGAATTTAGCAGCGTTAAATCGATGTAAACCTGCACCCGTCCACACGATGAAGCCCTTTATTTCGACTTAAAGGGCTCTTAAAATGGATTTCCTTACCCCACCCCTGACAAGTGGATCAGCGCTTAAATCGGCCTTGCCGGGTCGAATTTGGGGTACTGTGGACACAATTCGACGGTATTGGCCTCCGGGAGCTATCCCAGAGTGCTCCATTGTGACCGCTCTGGACAGCACTTTCAACTCAGATGCACTGTCCAGGTAGACAGGAAAAGAACCGCGAACTTTTGAATCTCATTTCCTGTTCGGCCAGCGTGGCAAGCTGCAGGTGACCATGCAGAGCTCATCAGCAGAGGTGACCATGATGGAGTCCCAGAATCGCAAAAGAGCTCCAGCATGGACCGAACGGGAGGTACGGGATCTGATCGCTGTATGGGGGGAGGAATCCGTGCTATCAGAACTCCGTTCCAGTTTTCGAAATGCCAAAACCTTTGTCAAAATCTCCCAGGGCATGAAGGACAGAGGCCATAACAGGGACCCGAAGCAGTGCCATGTGAAACTGAAGGAGCTGAGGCAAGCCTACCAGAAAACCAGAAAGGCGAATGGCCGCTCCGGGTCAGAGCCCCAAACATGCCGCTTCTATGATGAGCTGCATGCCATTTTAGGGGGTTCAGCCACCAGTACCCCAGCCGTGTTGTTTGACTCCTTCAATGGAGATGGAGGCAACACGGAAGCAGGTTTTGGGGACGATGAGGAGGAGGAGGTTGTAGATAGCTCACAGCAAGCAAGCGGAGAAACCGGTTTTCCCGACAGCCAGGAACTATTTCTCACCCTGGACCTGGAGCCAGTACCCCCCGAACCCACCCAAAGCTGTTTCCTGGACCCGGCGGGCGGAGAAGGGACCTCTGGTGAGTGTACCTTTTAAAATACTATATGTGGTTTAAAAGCAAGCATGTGAAAGGATTACTTTGCCCTGGCATTCGCGGCTCTCCTGGATGTACTCCCAAAGCCTTTGCAAAAGGTTTCTGGGGAGGGCAGCCTTATTGTGTCCTCCGTGGTAGGACACTTCACCACTCCAGGCCAGTAACACGTACTCGGGAATCATTGTACAACAAAGCATTGCAGTGTATGTTTGCTGGCGTTCAAACAACATCCGTTCTTTATCTCTCTGTGTTATCCTCAGGAGAATGAGATATCATTCGTGGTCTCCTGGTTGAAATAGGGTGCTTTTCTTCAGGGGACACTCAGAGGAGCACATTCCTGCTGGGCTGCTTACCTGTGACTGAACAGAAATGTTCCCCGCTGTTAGCCACGGGGAAGGGGGAGGGTTGAGGGGGTAGCCACGTGGTAGGGGGAGGCAAAATGCGACCTTGTAACGAAAGCGCATGTGCTACGTATGTAATATTAACAGCAAGGTTTACCCTGAAAGACTGTAGCCACTGTTTTATAAAATGTCTTTTTAAATACCGCTGTCCCTTTTTTTTTTTCTCCACCAGCTGCATGTGTTTCAATGATCACAGGATCTTCTCCTTCCCAGAGGCTAGTGAAGATTAGAAAGAAAGAAAAAAAAAAAAAGCACTCGAGATGAAATGTTCTCCGAGCTCATGCTGTCCTCCCACACTGACAGAGCACAGACGAATGCGTGGAGGCAAATAATGTCAGAGTGCAGGAAAGCACAAAATGACCGGGAGGAGAGGTGGCGGGCTGAAGAGAGTAAGTGGCGGGCTGAAGAGAGGGCTGAAGCTCAAATGTGGCAGCAGCATGATGAGAGGAGGCAGGATTCAATGCTGAGGCTGCTGGAGGATCAAATCAGTATGTTCCAGTGTATGGTTGAGCTGCAGCAAAGGCAGCTGGAGCACAGACTGCCACTACAGCCCCTGTGTAACCAACCGTCCTCCTCCCCAAGTTCCATAGCCTCCACACCCAGACGCCCAAGAACACGGTGGGGGGGGGCCACCGGCCAACCAGCCACTCCACCACAGAGGATTGCCCAAAAAAAAGAAGGCTGTCATTCAATAAATTTTAAAGTTGTAAACTTTTAAAGTGCTGTGTGGCATTTTCCTTTCCTCCTCCACCACCCCTCCTGGGCTACCTTGGTAGTCATCCCCCTGTTTGTGTGATGAATGAATAAAGAATGCATGAATGTGAAGCAACAATGACTTTATTGCCTCTGCAAGCAATGATTAAAGGGAGGAGGGGAGGGTGGTTAGCTTGCAGGGAAGTAGAGTGAACCAAGTGGCGGGGGGTTTCATCAAGGAGAAACAAACAGAACTTTCAAACCGTAGCCTGTCCAGTCATGAAACTGGTTTTCAAAGCTTCTCTGATGCGTACCGCGCCCTCCTGTGCTCTTCTAACCGCCCTGGTGTCTGGCTGCGCGTAACCAGCAGCCAGGCGATTTGCCTCAACCTCCCACCCTGCCATAAGCGTCTCCCCCTTACTCTCACAGATATTGTGGAGCACACAGCAAGCAGTAATTACAGTGGGAATATTGGTTTCGCTGAGGTCTAAGCGAGTCAGTAAACTGCGCCAGCGCGCCTTTAAACATCCAAATGCACATTCTACCACCATTCTGCACTTGCTCAGCCTGTAGTTGAACAGCTCCTGACTACTGTCCAGGCTGCCTGTGTACGGCTTCATGAGCCATGGCATTGAGGGGTAGGCTGGGTCCCCAAGGATACATATAGGCATTTCAACATCCCCAACAGTTATTTTCTGGTCTGGGAAAAAGTCCCTTCCTGCAGCTTTTGAAACAGACCAGAGTTCCTGAAGATGCGAGCGTCATGTACCTTTCCCGGCCATCCCACGTTGATGTTGGTGAAACGTCCCTTGTGATCCACCAGAGCTTGCAGCACTAATGAAAAGTACCCCTTGCGGTTTATGTACTCGGCGGCTTGGTGCTCCGGTGCCAAGATAGGGATATGGGTTCCGTCTATGGCCCCACCACAGTTAGGGAATCCCATTGCAGCAGAGCTATCCACTCTGACCTGCACATTTCCCAGGGTCACTACCTTTGATATCAGCAGATCTTTGATTGCGTGGGCTACTTGCATCACAGCAGCCCCAACAGTAGATTTGCCCACTCCAAATTGCTTCCCAACTGACCGGTAGCTGTCTGGCGTTGCAAGCTTCCACAGGGCTATCGCCACTCGCTTCTCAACTGTGAGGGCTGCTCTCATCTTGGTATTCATGCGCTTCAGGGCAGGGGAAAGCAAGTCACAAAGTTCCATGAAAGTGCCCCTACGCATGCGAAAGTTTCGCAGCCACTGGGAATCGTCCCAGACCCGCAACACTATGCGGTCCCACCAGTCTGTGCTTGTTTCCCGAGCCCAGAATCAGCGTTCCACAGCATGAACTTGCCCAATTAGCACCATGATGCATGCATTGGCAGGGCCCATGCTTTCAGAGAAATCTGTGTCCATATCCTGATCACTCATGTGACTGCGCTGACGTCGCCTCCTCGCCCGGTATCGCTTTGCCCGGTTCTGGTGCTTCAGATACTGATTGATAATGCGTGTGGTGTTTAATGTGCTCCTAATTGCCAAAGTGAGCTGAGTGGCCTCCATGCTTGCCTTGGTATGGCGTCCGCACAGAAAAAAGGCGTGGAACGATTGTCTGCCGTTGCTCTGACGGAGGGAGGGGCGACTGACGACACGGCTTACAGGGTTGGCTTCAGGGAGCTAAAATCAACAAAGGGGGTGGCTTTACATCAATGAGTATTTCAGGCAGGACTTCACGGAGGTTTCCAATAAGAAATGGTGCACCAAAGTTATTGTTCTTATTGGAACAATGAGGTTAGTCTGGCCTCTGATTGATGCATGGCTAGTTTTACCTTGCTGCACCTTCTCTGTGAGTGACTGCAGTGTGACCTAGAGGAATGAGTCCCCTAGACTGGGGAGGGTAGGAAGCAAATGAGTACAAAACAAATCTGGTCTATTTCTTGTTTTGATCCACTCCATCTATCTTTTACATCTTTGGCTGGCAGCAGACGGTGCAGAAGGACTGCAAGCCATCCACATCTCATGGCTGCTTGGCAGAAAACGGTGCAATATGACTGCTAGCCATCCCCATCTCTTGCCTGCCCGGCAGAAGATGGCACAGTACGACTGCTAACAATCCGTATTGCCTGCCTGCTCACCGTAAGATGGTTCAATAGGACTGACTGCAGGACTAAAGAGAATGACTTGGTCAAGTCACTCCAGACTTAGTCCCTGCACCCATGTCTGTCCAGGCGCTCCCGGCCGACGCGGCCAGGAGCACCTCGGACATGACGATGACTGCTACCAGTCATATTGCACCGTCTGCTGCCAGAAGGCAAGGGGTTGCTGCTACTGTGTAGCAATGCAGTACCGTGTCTGCCAGCACCCAGGAGACATATTGTGACAGTTACCTGAGCGGGCTCCATGCTTGCCGTGGTATGGCGTCTGCACAGGTAACTCAGGGAAAAAAGGTGCGAAACGATTGTCTGCCCTTGCTTTCACGGAGGGAGGGAGGGATCGGGGGCCTGACGATATGTACCCAGAACCACCCGCGACAATGTTTTAGCCCCATCAGGCATTGGGATCTCAACCCAGAATTCCAATGGGCAGTGGAGACTGCGGGAACTGTGGGATAGCCACCCACAGTGCAACACTCTGGAAGTCGACGCTAGCCTTGGTATTGTGGAAGCACTCCGCCGAGTTACTGCACTTAATGCACTTAGAGCATTTTCTGTGGGGACACACACACGCGAATATATAAAACCGATTTCTAAAAAAACGACTTCCATAAATTCGACCTGATTTCGTAGTGTAGACATACCCCTAGACTGTAATATGTTTTTACGGTGGTGGGTGAACTAATAGAGCCACATGTAATGCCGATAGATAATATCCATGCTTCTTGACTTGGGTCTCTCAATTTATCTGAGTTCTGATTTGCCACCCTTCCTGCTGTTCCAGTAGAAGATCTCTCCTGAGCAATATGATGATCTCCAGTTTGAAAAACCATTTTGCTTTTAGGGTTGTGGGTTTAAATAATTTGTTTTCTTTCAGGTCAGTTAGAATGTGATAGTACAGTAAAACTCTTTGTCTCTGCTAGTTACTTAAAGCACCTGTGATACAGTTCTGCATGTATCCATAAAATGAAAAAAAAATCGTACAAATGCATACAAAGAAATTATGCTTTATTTTCAGTGGGCTTTTATATTTTTTAAACCAACCTTTTAACTTGCCCCTGTATAATAAAGGAGAACAAATAGTGCCTTTGGAGAAAAATGTATAACGCACACCTTGGTTTTTATCAATGGCAATATAATCAAAACTTTAAATAACCTTGTGAACTGTGCAGACTTTTAAATATTCTCATTTCATTATGCTGTTAGTTGACTGCTTAACAGTGTACCTAGAAGTGAAATCAAGAACTACTGTCTGAAGCCACTTGGAGATTTAGTTGTGTAATTTTAAGCATATTTAAAGTACATGTATTCAGATGTCATTATGTAAATTAGTAATGAAAATTGAGCTCCATTAAAATTATAATATTTTCTGACTGAATTTGAGGCTACTTTAATCTCAGAAATGAAATAAACAGGTTTTTATTAAGAGTGGCACTTGTACCCTTTATAATGGTAATTGACATGTTAATGTGGTGATATTAAACATACAGTGTATGTTTAATATAGCAAAAATGTTTGCTGATCTCTGGTTAGTTTTGAGATGTGCTGTACCCAAACAGGTTTTGAATTTAAGTGTTGAAGTTGAAAAAATAAATCTGTTTCAAACCAGTTGGGTTGGGAACTTAGAGGACAGGTTGGAGGTACACAGTTAAATTTCCAGATACAATTATAACTTTAATAGAATATTAAAACTAGCCCTTTCTTTCAAGATATCAGAATTTTCTGTCATAAGTTATGTTGAAAGTCAAATTATTTCATCAACAACTAGCGGTAATATACATTTTGACAGGAGATCACATATGGATCTTTTGTGTAATGTACTCTTTCAGAACTTTTGAAAGATCTCATCATACCATAGTTAAGGCTAAGTTTTTGTCATGGATGTTTTTAGTAAAAGTCAGACACAGGTCACAGGAAATAAACAAAAATTCACGGCAGCCTGTGACCTGTTCCTGACTTGCACTAAAAATATCCCTGACAAAAGGAGTAGGTGTGTTCAGCACCCATTGCTGCTGGGTCCTCCACTGATGTGGGGCATGGGAGCTTCAGGGTCCCCGTGCCCCTGGGGGTTGGGATGCTGCAGAGTCTCCTCACCCTGGGTAGCTGGTAGCTGCAGGGTCCCCTGGCTGCAGCTGTGGTGGGGAAGTAGTGTGGAGTCCCCATTGCCCGCCGCGGCTGGGCAGATTCAGGGGGTCCCACTGCAGCTAGGCATATGCAGGGGGTCTGCCTGCCTGCCATGGCTGGGGCCTGCGAGGGTGGGGCTGGCTGGGAGCTCCAGCCCCAGGACAGAAAATGTCCTGGAGGTCAATGGAAGTCATGGATTCCGTGATTTCCATGACATAATCGTAGTCTTAACGATAGTATATGGGAACAAAACAGACAAAAGAGCTGCACCTTCTTAATGCATCGTGAATAGTGGTTAAAATATCTCCATTAGGATTTCCTCTCCAGATCCCTACTAGTGCATACCTCAGCCTATGGAATTCAGAATCCGCTAGAAAGAAATGACCATTGGGATTACATTTACCATTTTGCAATTCATACATTTTGTGTAAGTTTATATAAGGAGTTGTGACTCTAGCCATTCAGAGTTCCTTTTCTGCTAACCGTGGCCATGCTTCTTGGAACCATTGTACTGGATAGCTTGTAGCTTGAGCTGACAGACAAACACAAGGAGATGTCAGAAAGACAAGCAGATATTTTAGTTTGGACAGAGACAATGTGGAGTAGAGAGGTAGATCTGAGAGTTGTCAGCATAGATGTAGTAGTTGAATTTGGGTTTGTGGATGAGATTGCCCCGAGATAAGGTATAAAGCAGTGGTTCTCAACGTATTTACCGTTGTGGCCTGCATACACGCTATATATACACACACACACATACACACTACCTGTATGGCCCTGAGAATGTTGACTGGATTGTGGGGTTGAGAACCACTGATGTAGAGGAAGAAGAGAAGGATACCAAGGGCAGATCCCTGTGGAATCCCCA